GAGCGGGCGCTGCTGGACGTGGAGCGCCGCGGGCGTGAGGTGCGCCAGGGGGCCTTTCGGAAGGCGGGGACCGCAGGAGGCTGCGGGTTCCCAAATGAACCCAGAGGGTCTGTGCCCCTGAATGTGACACCCACCCCTCCCTCCCCACGTCCTCCGAATGGAGGGGAGCCGGAGTGTGTGTGAGGCCAGGACTGCAGCCCCCATTTGCTACCCTGGCCGGCGTTCAGTAAGTGTGCGCGCAGTACGCACGGTAAGGAAGGGGGCTGTGTATAGCAAACTAGTCACCTGTGCTCACTGCCCCTCGGAGACCTGGGATCTCCTCAAGGGTCAGATAGTGTCCCAGCCAAACCCGATGTTTCCTTCCCTAGACAGCAGGACTTCCCTGCTGAAGAGGAGAGAGAGGTGGTCTTTAGGTGACTCCTGAGGGGAGAGGAAGTGCCAGACAGAAAAAAAGGTTGTGGGAACAGAGTCCTAGGGAGAGGCTAGCCCATGCCCTGCGCTGTGGTGACAGGCAGGAGGCAGGTCCCTGAAGATCTCCAAACAGGCTTTCCAGGCCATTGGGGGACCAGACCATGATGGGCAGGGTGATGGTGTTGAGGACCCGACGCTTCCTCTAGGGATGTGCAGGGCCTTAGCAAGCTTGAGGCAAGGCAGTGATGTCATCAGATTTCAGGGAATAAGAGGTGGTCTGAGGGAGGGAAGTCACAGCTGGAAAGCAAAAGAAAAGTGAGCGGGAGCCCAGTGCCCAGTGGAGATGAGTACGAAGTAGGGACCGCTAGGGAGAGGGGTTTCTGTGGGGGCTGGGCAAGGATGGAGAGCAGCTTGGTGTGGGATATGTAGGGTGTGTAGGCGCTGTGGGACACATTGGGGGGTGGAGGGAGACAGGCACCTGCTGAGAGCTGGAGGAGATTCGGGCAGTAGGGAGAAAGCTGGAAGTCATAGGTCCCTGGAAGGAGTAGAAACTTGCTTGGACAAGGGGTTGCCTGCCTGCAATTATATATACCCTGACAGAGCTACAGAGACAGCGGCCAGAGCACAGTGGGTTACAGGAGGGAGGGTGGGGCCTCAGGAGCGCCATGCTGCTGAGAGGTTTGGATAGAGGGAAAAAGTGACCGTGAAACTATGATGGTGGCCTGTGTCCTTGCCCATGGTCATCTCAGCCAGGGGTATGAGGCTGAAGTTACAGGGGATGGGACAGAGAAGGAGAGGTGTGTCCTCGAGAGACGAAGGATGATGGCCCATGGCACATGAACCGCAAGAAGGGTGACTGAGAAGCCTGATGGATAGGGAAACAGGGGCCGGGCCACTGGTGGAGCACTTGCACAGTGAGAAAGGCAAACTGGCAGATGGGGTGAATTGTATGGGAAGAGATTTGGGAGCTGGTGACAGGGCCAGGGAGCAAGTGGCCTTGGAAAGAAAGAAAGGGACTTTCAGAGGGTTGGAGGGTAAGCCCTGGAGCTCCTGAAGCCCCCGAGAGTAAGGATGGGACATGGCTGCTCGTGACCAGTGTAGGAGGCCAAGCTGGGCCCTAAAGTTTGCGGGGAGGTTAGAAGCCGGCAGCAAGCAGGCTGCTTCAGCCAGATGGCTCATGCTCCAGGGAAACGGAATTTTGCTTGAGAGAGGATGTGAGGCGCAGGGAGCCCAAGGGCCAGGTAGCCTGGAATGCAAGAGACCCTGTCTCAAGGTGGAAGGCGAGGACTGAGACACCCAAGGTTGCTCCCCAACGTCACATGTCACTTTGGCATTCACGCATCTATTTACGCTTACATAAACTCTGCACACAAGTTTTTATTTGTAGGATTAAAAAAAAAAAGTTAGACCCAGGCGTTGGTGGCACATACCTTTAATCCCAGCATTCGGGAGGCAGAGGCAGGTGGATCTCTGTGAGTTCGAGGCCAGCCTGGTCTACAGAGTGAGTGTCAGGACAGGCTCCAAAGCTACACAGAGAAACCATGTCTTGAAAACCAAAATAGTAACAATAAATAAATAAATAAATTAGCTGGCATGGTGGTGGTACATGCTTTTCATTCCAACATTCTAGAGGCAGAAGTAGGCAGGTCTCTGTGAGTCCAAGCTCAGCTTGTTCTACATAGCAAGTTCCAGGCCAGCCAGGGCTACATAGTGAGTGAGACACTGTCTAAAGCAACAACGATAAGGTGTTGTAAGGGCTCAAAGCAGGTAATGAGACTCTGAGCCAGGCAGAAGCATCAGCTCAGAGCACCAGCCTGGTGTTCCCAGCTCCTGTGACAGCACATTTTGGTCCCCAAGGGAAACAGAGCTCAACCAAACAGTAGGGGTCCCGGCTTCCCTTTGGGCTCTATGTGCTGAACTGATCACTGCTCAGACAACTCTGGTCATCTATTTCTGCTTCAGACTCTGTAAGCCCGACTTACGGCTCTCATTTGTTGCCTGGGGTGGGGGATGGGGTTATGGACCACAGAAGCAGAGGGGATCTCTGCTCAGGCCACTCAACCTGCAAGAAGCAGGAGTGGACCAGAAGTCGAGTCTTCAACCCAAATTCTGCATCCCTCGTATACCATCCTGCTCCATGCAGGAGCAGTCCCTGTCCAGGCTCCCTGGGACTCTGGCCTACATCTGGCAGTCCACTGTGAGTGGCATGAGACAAGTGTCCAGTACCCATGTGGACAGTGGGGTAGGAGGTGAACTTTACAACCAACCCTAGCCTTCTTTTGTTGTTTGCCCTCTGGATGGGCGCCTGCTGCAGGACCAGCTGAAAGCTAGAGTGGTGGTTACCCAGCAACAGGCCACAGAGGCAGAGAGCCAGCTTCAGGAGCTGCAGCAGCAAAGCAGCCAGATTGAGGTATGTCTCCATGTCCACATGGGGTTCCTGAGCTTCCTTGAAGATGACCCCCAGAGGTAGGGAATGGAAAGCTGAGCTAGAAGCCAGGCCCCAGTGGGGAGGAGGTTCCAAGGGCCCGCGCCCCACCCTTCCTTCAGGCCAGTGAGTGACTGAAGACCTGGTCTGCCTGGCCACTCTGAGGTTCCCTCCTGTGCCCACAGAGTTCAGCCTCCACCCTGGCCTCGGTGGTCGCCAGCAGGTTCAGCAGCCTGGCACAGGCACTGGAAAAGCGGAAGGCCTTGACACTGAGGAGCATAGAGCAAGCCAAGAAGCAGGTGCTGGGCCAGGCTCTGAATGAGATCCAGCGGCTAACTGGCCACCTGGAGGCCTTGTCTCAGTATGACCACAGTGTCCAGGAGCTCCTGGGGCAAGTGGATGACCACATCTTCTTCCAGGTACCAGATTTCGGGGCAGGGGGCTAAGGCCTTGATTCTATGCCTTGCACCCTACTCATCGACAGTGTCCCTGGGGTTCAGGGATTACAGCAGCTCTCTGAGCCTGTAGAGTCCCTTGGGCCACCGACCGCTCTGCAGTGGGATGAAGAGCAACAGTTGAACAACGTGAATGAATTGCTTAGCCCGCTATGCGAGCTCCTCCTCGAAGACAAGCCCTCCAGAGTGGCAGGCAAAGCTGCCCAGGCTGGCCCTGTGGGTAAGGCTGACTTCTCCTTGTCTTCTGAGTGCTACTCTCCCTCCCACTAGTGTGTAGAAGTGGGGAGTCAGGGGTCATTCCTACCCACTCCCCTATTTCTGATTTGTTCTTTAGAGGCCTTGGGTCCCCCACCACCAGTCCCCAGCACCATGTGTCCACTGAGGAAGAAGCTCTGGCAGAGTAAGGATGCCTGTGTGTGTACGTGTGTGCGTGTACACTCATCTGTGTGCTCATGACAGCACATGTATGCAAGCATGTGTCTGGGTATATATGGGGTGAGGGCCCCGATATGACTGTCCTGTCCATGGACCTTCCTGGGCCTGGCCCCACCTATGCACTTGTTGCAGGATGTAACCTGCGTCCACATCCGCCCTGAGGCAGCTGCAGCCAGCAAAGTGTTAAAGGGCAGATTCTGACCACATGCACCTAGGGTCCCTCACAGTTTTTCCACTTAATACTATGTGATCTCAACTCTCTGAACCTCAGTTTCCCCTCTTGTAAAATGGGAAGATGTAGAAGATCCCAGCTCAGAGGTAGCAATGAACAGTTCGCTACTATAATGATGCCTGGTGCTCTGCCCTCCAAGCCTGGTAGACATTTGAACTGTCTGTAAATGGACCCGCAGTAGCTCTCTATGCTGTAGAAAAGAAAAATGACACCTTTGCCTGCTTCTCTTCATCTCTTTTGAATAGATTATCGTAATCTGACCTTTGACCCGGACACTGCAAACCAGTACTTGTACTTGTCCCATGAGGACCAGCAGGTGACACACCGTTTCCAGGCCCAGAGCCCAGTCAGGCCAGGCAGCTTTGAGCTGTGGCAGGTACAGTGTACCCAGAGTTTTCAGACTGGACAGCACTACTGGGAGGTGCGTGCCTCTGAACACTCTGTGACATTGGGTGTCACCTACCCAAAACTATCACGCCGGAAGGTGGGGAACCACACGGATAACATCGGCCGTGGACCTTACTCCTGGGGCCTCTGCATCCAGGAGGACAGTATCCAGGCCTGGCACAACGGCAAGGCTGAGCGCCTACATGGGGCACCTGGACTTCTCCTGGGCATAGATTTGAACTTGACCTCTGGCTGCCTCAACTTCTACAGCCTAGAGCCACGGACAGAGAGGCTCCATACCTTCTATGCGGTGTTCAGCCAGCCTCTCTTCCCTGTCTTCTGGCTCCTTGAGGGGAGGACCCTCACTCTTTGCCACCAGCCTGAGGCCAAGCTCCCTCCAGGGCCCAGGGAAGAGGCCTCAGCACTCTGCTGACAGGGGCACAGACAAGTGTCACCATGCCGGTGAGGCCAAGAGTGGCTCAGCCTCTGACTTGGAGACTGAAGGCCACTATTGTTCAAGGAATAGCTGTTGGCCTCTCTGTTGGCTCAGGACACAGATGAGAGGGGAGCATCTAAATCAAAGTTTACTTTTCACTCTCTTTGAAGGAGAAGCCCCAGCCCCAAGCAAAAGCCAAGTTCTTGGCATTGCCTAGACATCTGTCTTAGTTACTGTTCTATGGCTGTGAGGAGACACCATGACCAAGGCAAGTTTTATAAAAGAAAGCATTACCTGGGGGCTTGTTTACAGTTTTAGAGAGTTAGTTCATGATCATCATGGCAGGAAACAGACAAGCCTGGTGCTGGAGCAGTAGCTGAGATCTTTGCATCCTGATCTGTGGGGGAGGGAGAGGGAGAGAAAGGGAGAGGGGGAGGGGGAGGGGAAGAGGGAGAGAAACTAAGCCCGGCATGGGCTTTTGAAACCTCAAAGCCCACCCCCAGTGACACACCTTCTCCAACAAGGCCACACCTCCTAACCCTTCCCAAACAGTTCCACCAGCTGGGGACTAAGCACAGGTTGTGGAGAGCAGATGTGGTGATGGGTGTGGGTGCTTGGGATGTGAACAGCTTGCCCTTGCTCTTCCAGAACAAGCTTCCATGAGGGTCCTGGGATGTTTTTTTTTTTTTTTTTAACTGGGGTTAGAACCTGGAATGTTTTGAGTACTAGACAATAGCCCCTCCCTTGGCCAGACGTGACAGTGCACAACTGTAATCCCAGCACTCAGGAGGCAGAGGCAGGTGGATCTCCGTGGGTTTGAGGCCAGCCTGGTCTACAAAGCTGAGTTTCAGGACAGACAGGGCTACACAGAGAAACCCTGCCTCAAAAAACCACAAAACAAAAGCAGAGTCCCACCCTCTCTCACTGACAGCCTCCGCAGCCTGATATGCTTGTTGTTGTGTTTTGTTTTCTGTGACAGGGTTTCTCTGTGTAGCCCTGGCGGTCCTGGCACTCGCTCTGTAGACCAGGCTGGCCTCGAGTTCAAAGATCCGCCTGCCTCTGCCTCCCGAGTGCTGGGACTAAAGGCGTGCGCCACCAACGCCCACCCTGGTATAATTTCCTTACTTGAGATGTGCCAGGCTCTGATTTTGGTGATGTTTACAAGGATGCCCATTCTAGTAACTTTTCTCTTGTGATTCCTTAAGTGTTTGTCTGTTTTATATGCTCGCGGGTAAACATTACACAGTAAAGGATTTCAGAAACTCTTTTCTCTTTACTGAGTGTGCATATGGGGTGGGGTGGCTTGTGTGCCAGGACATGCGTGTGGACCTCAGAGGACCATGTTGAGGAGTAGGTCCTCTCCTTCCACCGTGTGGATCTGGGATGGACCTCAGACTGTCAGGTTGGCGAAAGCACGTTTACCTGCTGAGTCATCCCACCAGCCCACAACAACTGTTGGTTGTCGTTGTCATTGTCACTGTCTGAGACAGGGTATCACTATGTAACACTGGCTGGCTTAGAATTCACTGTGTAGAACAGGCTAGCTTCCAGTTCACAAAGATCTGCCTGCCTCTGCCTTCTGAGTGCAGGAATTAAAGTCTTAAACTACCATTACTGATTCTATAACAGTTTATAAAGGATAATATGTGTAATAATGAACACATAGGCAATATATTAGTGTTTTATATAAATGTTTAAACATTTTTTTTCTTTTTTCCCCCAGATGGAGGCTGTCCTAGAACTCACTATGTAGACCATGCTGGCCTCAAATTCACAGAGATCAACCTGCCTCTGCCTCCCGAGTGCTTGGGACCAAAGGTGTACACCACCAACCCTGGCTAAACATTTTTCTTTAAAAATCTTTATGTATGGGCTGGAGAGATGGCTGAGAGGTTAAGAGCACTGACTGCTCTTCCAGAGGTCCTGAGTTCAATTCCCAGCAACCACATGGTGGCTCACAACCATCCGTTATGAGATCTGGTGCCCTCTTCTGGTGTGCAGATATACATGGAAGCAGAATGTTGTATACATAATAAAAATAAATAAAATCTTAAAAAAAATCTTTATGTAGGTGTATATTTTGCCCGAGGCCAGAAGAAGGCATCAGATCTCCTGGAACTGGAGTTATAGACCATTGTGAGCCTCTATGTGGGTGCCAGGAACCAAACCTGGGTCCTCTGCAAGAGCAGCAAGTGCTCCTAACCTAGCTGGTTGGAACTCTCTATGAAGCCCAGTGCTGTAGTCCAGGCATCCCCCTCCTGCCTCTCCCTTCCAAGTACTGCAATCATAGGCTCCGCCCACCCACTCAACATGGCGAGACTGTTTCTGGCTGTGCTTTGTTTCTATTTGACCCTTTTTGTGGCAGGAGGGTTTGAGACTGGGTCTTCCTCTCTAGCCCAGACTGGTTTGGAACTTGCAGGTCCCCAAGATGTCCTCGATTGAGTGGCAACCCTCCTGCTTAACCCCCTAAGCTTTAGGATTACAGGCATGAACTGTGAGCCACCAGGTCTGCTGGGTTTGCTGCTGTTGCTTCTGAAGGGACAAGGCTGCAGCCACATTCCTATAAGGGTTAGGGTTATTCAGCCCACACTTGCTCCTCCTCCCCTGCAGGGCTGGCCATGGGAAGTGTAACCTATCAGGTTTCCCTTTGGCTCCCTTGTGGATAGAGTCCTCCTAAGGGTGGTATTGGAGGCAGGTGTGAGCACAATCTTGTGTTGCTCTGAAGTAAATTTGTGCCATTAATGACAAATCATTTTGAAAGACTTCAGACACTAGACAACAATGTCTCTGGAAATGAACTATGGAGATACCTGTAGTCGACCGCCAGCTCCTGAATGACACCGAGACTTATTATTGAGTATGAAACCTTGGCCTTATCTTAGGCTTGGTCCCAACTAACTCTTAAAACTTAAATTACCTGTTCATATTAATCTGCGTTCTGCCACCTAGCTCGTTACCTCTCCTCCACACTGTACATCTGACTTCCTCTGTGTCTAGCCGGCGAATTCCCTGAGCCTCAGATTCTTCCCAGAGTTCTTATCTCTGCCCAGAAGAGCTCTTTATTAAAACAATCAAAGGCAGGCAAAGACAGAGACACATCTTCACGAAGTGTGATCAAATATCCAGTAACAAATGCCATCACTTTTCACTGTAATTGATTTTTTTTTTCCTCTTTGCTCTTTGGGGACCACACCACCAAGTTCCCAAATAAATCCACGGAGACTTATTTATGAATGCCTAGCTTGGCTTGTTTCTAGCCAGCTTTTCTAACTTAAATTATCCTGTTTCTCTTTAACTACATTTTGCCTCTAGGCTTTTTACCTTTCTTTATTCTATATTTTTCTTTCCTTCCTACTCTGTGGCTGGGTGGCCGGCCCCTGGAGTCCTCCTCTCCTCTTCTCACTCTTCAACCTCTTCCCTATTTTTTTCCTCTGCCCACCAACCCCACCTGACCCTCTACTGCTTAGCTATTGACTGTTAAACTCTTTATTAAACCAATCAGGTGTTTTAGGCAGGCAAAGTAACATCAGTGCAGCAACGACAGACAGGCTGCAAGCTAACAATACTGGGACTAGGCCTCACCCTTACAACAACCAGGAAAAGCCACAGACTGTACCCTGCAGGGGACCAAGCAGGGTCGAGACAAGTACTAGATAGCTTACCTTGCCCGGGAGTGGTGGCGCACACCTTTAGTCCCAGCACTCGGGAGGCAGAGGCAGGCTGATCTCTGTGAGTTCGAGGCCAGCCTGGTCTACAGAGCGAGTGCCAGGACAGGCTCCAAAGCCACAGAGAAACCCTGTCTCAAAAAAAAAAAAGATAGCTTACCAAACTTGTATATAGCTTGCCAGTTTCCTTGCAGCAATGCCAGTACCAATCCCTGTTTGTGAAAATTTCTGCTTCCTCACTCCTGCCCAATCAGGAGTTCAACCCCCACCTGAATCTGGAATCCCCTTCCCCCTCCGCCTTCCTTTGCTCCTTAAACCCTGCTATGACTGAGCTCCATGCTCTCCGGATCCAACTTCTCTGAACAGATGGAGAGTCCAAGCTCCAGCTTGCAATAAAGGCCCTTTGCTTTTGCATGCGAATTCGAACACCTGGTGGTCTCTGGGGGGCTGGCGACTGGGGCATAACACCTGCCTTTTTCTGAGACCAGTGGAAAATCAGCTTCCCGTGCCAGCTGGAGGGAAACACGGATAGAGTGGTCTTCAGCTGGGAGACTAAGCCCTTCCTGGACACTGAGCAATGTCTGAGGACAGTTCTGACTATGACGACTAGGTGGTGCCCCTGTCACCCATTGGGTAGAAGTTAGGAATACAGCTTACCATCCAGCATTGCCCAAGGTAGTCCCAGAGGAAAAAAAAAATCTGATTTTTTTTTAAACTAAAGCAAACTATATACTGTTTCCTTCTTTTTTGAGGCAAGGTTTCCTTATATAGTCCCAGCAGGCCAGGGACTGGACTTCCTGTCCTAGCCTCTCATGTGCTAGGATTATAGGCATGTAAGGCCAAACTGGCTAGACCACACACTTTATATTTGGATATTTTTTGCTTTTTTGAGACAGCCTTTCATATAGCCTAAGCTAGCCAGAAACTCACTATGTAGCTGACGTTGGCTTTGAACTCTTGATCCTCCTCCTCTACCTACCAAGTGCTAACTATTCCTGCCCATGCCAGCTATAGACTGCACACTTTGTTTTATTTTTGTTTCGTTTAGTCTTGCTTTTTAAGACAGGGTTTCTCTGTGTAGCCCTGGCTGTCCTGGAACTCACTCTGTAGACTAGGCTGACCTCGGACTCACAAAGATCTGTCTGCTTCTGCCTCCCAAGTGCTGGGAGATTAAAGGTATGGGCCACTAACACCAACATTTGGGGGGGGGGTGAAGTATGTGTGAGAAAGTGGGGGGGTGTGTGTGTGTGTGTGTGTGTGTGTGTGTGTGTGTGTGTAGGTCCCAGTCAATACCAGATTCTCTCCTTCATCACTCTTCACCTCATTATTTTAAATATGTTTGTTTATTTATTTGTGGGGGGGGGAGTGTTTCCCTGCTTAAATCTGTTCTCCATGTATGTTCAGTGTCTGCAGAAGCCAGATGAAGGTACCAGAAACCTTGGAACCAGGGTTACAGATGGTTGTGAGTTGTCGTGTGGTGCAGGGAATTGAACCTGGGTTCTGGGTTCTCTGGAAAAGCAGTCCAGATCTCTTAACTACTAAGCTGTCTCTCCAGCCCCTCCACCTTACTTTTTGGGACAGGGTCTCTCACTGAATCTAAATCTCACCTATTGGCTAGATTGAATAGCTAGCAAACCCCCAGGATCCTCTTGTTTCCAGCTCTGGGATTTCAGGTATGCCTGCCTTTTGGTGTGTGTGGGGGATTCAGACTCTGTGATGTGTCGTAGGTTTCTATTGCTATAATAAGACACCATAAACAAAAGTAACTTGAGGTTCGCTTCAGCTTACAGCTCACAGTCTATCATTTTGAGAAGTCAGGGCAGGAGCCGTGCCGAGGCCACAGGAGAGTGCTGCTCACTGGCTTGCTCTCCATGGCTTGCTCAGCTGCTTCCTCATAGCACCCCAAGACTACCTTCCTAGGGTGACACCACCACAGTGGGCTGGGCTCCCCCATCCATCAATAATGAAGAGTCTACACTGCAGGCTGGCCCACAGGCAATCTTATGGAGGAGCTTTGTCAGTTGAGACTCCCTCTTCCCAAATGACTCTCGCCTGTGTCACGTTGACATAACCTAGCCAGCACTGGGTGTAACTCAGTGGTAAAGTGCTTGCCCAACATTCACAAAGAGCTGGATTCAGACTCCAGCACTGAAAAAAAAAACACATGCACTGGTTTGGTTCCTGACTTACATACTTACTAAAAATTTCCAGCCCGGTCCCAGAGACTGAGGGAAATTTCCCATCTCTAAGCACAGGTTGCTGGGGAAACAGAGGCAGTGAAACAGGCCTGGCTAGAGGAGTGGACGAGGAGTTGGGGTGGTGGCAGAGTATGCCACCGAGGCATGTGCAGGCAGTGGGCCCTAGACTACAAAGAGAGATGGGAACACAGGAGAGACCTAACTCTCCACCTTGGCCCTGCTGTCCTGGGTGATGACTACGCTGTCCCTGACATGTGCACTGATAGGGGCCATGTGCTCCCCCTACTAATAACATGTTCAGGTCCTAACCCTCAAGCCTGTGGCTGGAACGTTATTTGGAAATTGGGTCTTGGCATTTGTAGTCAGGTTAGAATGACAGTAGGGTGGGCCCTAGCCCACTTTCTGTGTCTTTATATAAAGAGAATTTTTATTTTATTATTAAAATATTTTATTTTTATTTATTTACATGTACACATGCCTGCCTGAGGTTAGACGCACGCATCTCCTGGAGCTAGAGATACAATAGTTGTGAGCTGCCTATGTGGGAATTGAACGCTGGTCCTCTATAAGAACAATACATGTTCCTAACCACTGGGACATGTCTCCAGCCCCCCATTTACTTCTTTAAAGAGGACATTTTGGGAAGGTGAAGTGGCTCACCAATTGAGGGTGCTTGCTGTTACACCCGATGACCTGAGTTCCATCCCTTGAACCCTCAAGCTAAATAAACTAAGAGGCTGGAAGGATGGCTCACCAGGTAAGAGCACTGGCTGCTCTTCCAGAGGACTGGGCTTTGACTCCCAGCACCCACACAGGTGTTCAACACTGTTGGAAATTCCAGCCCCAGCAGATCCATGACACGGGGGAGGGAGGACTCCCTTACAAAGATTAAATGTTTTAAGTGATAATAAATGTGGGGGGAAAAAGTCTGCAGGGTTAATGATGGGGGATATCCTTGCATGTTGTGACTATGTTTCTCTGGTTGGTTGATGAATAAAGCTGTTTCAGCCAATGGCTTAACAGAGTAAAGCCAGGTGGGAAATCTGAACAGGTATAGAGAGAGGTAATGGGCAGAGTCGGAGAGATGCCATGTACCCATGGGGGAGGTAAGACACACAGGCATTCTCAGGTAAGACAAGGCTATGAGGAGATGCACAGATTAATAGAAATGGTTAATAATTAAGAGAGAGCTGGCCAGGAAGAAGCCTGAGCCATTGGCTAAGCAACTGTAAATGGTATTAAGTCTCAGAGTGGATATTTCATAAGCAGCCTGGTCTACAGAGTGAGTTCCAGGACAGCTCCAAAGCTAGAGAAAAACCCTGTCTCAAAAAACCAAAATAAGTGCTGGAAAGTTGGCTCAGAGGTTAAGAGCACTGGCTGCTGCTCTTCCAGAGGTCCTGAGTTCAATTCCCAGCAACCACATGGTGGCTCACAGCCATCTATAGTGGGATCATGCAGACAGAGCACTCATATACGTAAAATAAATCTAAAAAATTTTTTAAAAAACCAAAATAAAAGAAATTGTTTTTATTTGTTTTATGAGTGTTTGCCGGTGTGTACTTACGTGCACTGTGTGCATTGCACTGCCCTCAGAGATCAGAAGAGGGCGTGGGATGCCCTGACACTGGAATCACAGGCGGCTGTGAGCCCAGTGATGTGGGTTATGAACTGGACCTGAGTCCTCAGCAAGGGTAGCTCTTAACTGATGGGCCCTCCCTACACCCCACAAGTGAGCGCTGCTCGCCAGGCGTGGTGGTGCTCAGATGCTACGGTGGCAGCACTTGGGAGGCCATGTGTCCCTCCTGTACCATCGTCACACCAGACTCCATGCTGTGGTGTCACTGACCAGGACTGCCCGGATAAGGTGTGTATATTTCCCCACTGAGAGAGTGACCTTTGCTGTCTTTAGAAGCCAGGCAGCTGCAGCAGCTTTCTTTTGGGCCACCAACCAGCTCCCAAATAAACACACAGAAACTCGTTATTAGTTATGGATAGTCAGCCTTCGCTTATGCTTGTCCCACTAGCTCTTATATCTTAATTTAACTTGTTTCTCTTCATCTACGTTTTTGCCTTGGGCTTTTTACCTTTCTTTCATTCTGTATGTCCTACTCTGTGTCTGGCTGGCTGGTGGCCGCCTGACTGTCCCCAGGCTCTCTCTCTATTTCTCCCTTGTTCTCTCCTTTCTGGAGCCTGGATTCCACCCCCTACTTATTCTTTTTGCCCACCAGCCCCACCTATCCATCTACTGCTTAGCTATTGGTCCATCAGCTTTTTATTAGAGCAGTCAGGTGTCTTAGGCAGGCAAGGTGAACAGGAACACATCATTACATAGTTAAACAAATGTTAACACATCTCTACATAGCTATGCTAATATTCCACAACAGGCAGTGGTGGCACACACCTTTAATCCCAGCACTTGGGAGGCAGAGGCAGGCAGATTTCAGAGTTCAAGACCAGCCTGCTCTACAGAGAGTTCCAGGACAGCCTTTTTCTCTTTTACACAGAGAAAAAGAAGAAACCATTGTGGTTAGCACACAGGTAAGGAGTAGGATGTCACTTTGGAGAGCCAACTGAAATTATCTGGGGTTGTTCTGAATGGGAAAGGCATCTACTAGCCCCCTGCTTCTTCATTTATCCAGTAACTCATTACTCTCAGCATGGACAGATGGATGCTTAATTGTTATTTAGGGTTATAACAACATCATTCTACCCATTTTGCTTATTCTTTTCTTTTTTGCCTTTAATATAGGCCCCAGATTCTAACTCCAGTCCTCACACTTGCTCATCACTTTACCAGCTGAGCAGCTGTCTCCCCAGCACTAGGCTCCACTCATAATAATTAATAATAACGATAATTTTTACAATTTGAATTGGACATATTTTATTTTTATTTATTTATTTATTTTTTGTTTTTCAAGACAGGGTTTCTCTGTGTAGCTTTGGAGCCTATCCTGGCACTCGCTCTGGAGACCAGGCTGGCCACGAACACACAGAGATCCGCCTGACTCTGCCTCCCGAGTACTGGGATTAAAGGCGTGTGTCACCAACGCCCGGCAAGAATTGGACAATTTTAAAACGTAACAGAATTGAAGTATAATGTACAATGTCACTTTACCCAGGCATGACAGCATACTCCTGTAATCCCAGCCCTGGAGAAGAGGAGGCCAAGGCCAACATAAGAAGTTCTAGGTTGGGACTGGAGAGATGGCTCAGTGGTTAAGAGCACTGGCTGTTCTTCCAGAGGACCTGAGTTCAATTCCCAGCACCAAGATGGCATGTCACACCTGTCTAAAACTCCACTTCCAGGAGATCTGACACCCTCATACAGACATATAAACAGATCCATGTGCACAATAAATACATATTTTTTTTAAAAAAAGAAACAAAAAAAGTTCTAGGCTAACCAAGACTATATAAGAAACACCCTGTCTCACCAGGTGGTGGTGGCGCACACCTTTAGTCCCAGCTCTTGGAGGGCAGAGGCAGGCTGATCTCTGTAAGTTAGAGACCAGCCTGGTCTACAGAGCAAGTTCCAGGACAGCCAAGGTTACACAAAGAAACTCTGTCTCAAAAAAACAAGCCACCACCACCGCCCCCAAAAAAACAAAACAAAACAAGAACCTGTCTCAAAAACTACACTAAGAAACCAGATATGTGGCATAAGCCAGCACTCAGAGGCTGAGGCAGGAGGATGAAGGGTTCTAGGCCAATCTGGGCTACCTATAGAGACTAAGTCCCAAAGCAAACACACATCCTTGCAATTAGACGACCATTCTAAATGCATAGTTGGGCAAGTCTTAACCAGTGAGTGCCTCCTTTTAGGGAACTACAGGCACCCGAGAGTGTGCACGAACGGAAGTAAATTCCTCAGACAAGGGATTTGTCCAGTGATGTCAGCTTCCCATTTCAGATCGAGACAAGGCCAACTTCCCCAGTGGGGGTAAATAGAGTCGTTAAGGGGCAAAAACAGACACATACCAGCAGTAATTTTTTCTATATGTCAGCAGCTCGAGATCTTTGCTAACTGTACCGGGGAGGGGTGTGGAGGGCAAAGGTACTGGCGCCACGGCTGTGCCCTCCCACCTCTCGCGAGGCACCGGGCTGACCAAGGTGGGGGATGGAGGATCCCATGCCCTCCCAGCCTCCTCCCCATACATCACCGGTCCTTGTCCTCTCCTTTTCACGCCCATTTGGCAGTGCCACCGCCTCGGCCCACGTGGAAGGCAGACCCCCACCCCACTTCTGCTGACCCGCGGGTAC